GTTAACTGTAGACCCTTAAAGACTGAGCGTAAAACGGTTGATCTTATTTTCGGTCAACTGCACGGACACAGATAGTACGGTACACTGCTCCAGATGTAACCTCAACAAACTACCCAAAATAGACTCGTTCGAAGAAGTAGCAATGTTTTAAACCATACATTTGTAGTCATACACATTAAGCAAAATACGTGCACTTTTCGGTGAAACATTTTTCAGAAATAGGTAAAGTTTCGTTAAACTTACCAGCTTGGTTTAACATGCAGCTATCAGTCTGTGCAATTGCACTGTGAACTTGTCAAGACACAGGAGGCTAGTGGGTGAGTAGACAACATTCACGTAGGCAGACTTGAGTGAATTATTATTGTGAAAGTTATCTTTAAGAGTGCTCAAAGATTCTTGTCCTTTAGTTTACTGCAGAGTTGGGGTAGTGCGTGAGCAGATTTGTGCTGTTCAGTCTGCTGCACAGAAATCCTCACAATACGTAGTGAAAACTTCAGTTGGACCTCCACGGAAAAGCTATAGGTAGGCCCTCCCAAGAAGAACGCTAGAAAGACAAAACCATTGGAATAAACTTTTCACCATGAGTTGTGTTCTTACAGCCCTTCTCCTCGGGAGAAATACGCACCATAAACCACTTGGAAGTGTACTTTATGTAAATGCGGAGTTGTCTGACAAAGGTAATTGAATGTACGTGACTTGAGCTTGTTCATTATTCTGCGTGCACAACACGATACGACATATACACAACACAGGAGTAATATCGGTAGCCTGTCAGGAGATAGAAACGTTCTGAGGATCTCGGTTAATCTTGTACACCAAATCTTGACGGAGGCGTAGCTTTCTGTTACCCTATTACAAGGCTCAAACGCCGAAACAAACGGGTAACAAAGCAAGAGGATAATGTCAAGTTTATCGTATGATTAGATTCAGTGACGCCTAAAAACACTACCGGAGCTTCACTCTAATTTCGTCACATAAACCCTGTCTATTTAGTGCGTCCGAAATTAGTAAAATCTGGCAGCAAAGAGATGTACGTTGTTCGTATCATTCTGTTTCCCAAAATATGCACCCGGGTATAAGTTGCTGCGAAAAAGTTACATTTTTGGTCAGTGGCGTTATAAATGAGAGATTCAGCTGGGATTAAGGTGGATTTCTAGAGCAAACCAAATGTACATGCAAAAGAGTGTATTTGTTGAAATAAATGGTGTTTAGGTGGGCTTGGATGCTACTACACTTTGGTGTTAGAATAATCACGAGGCTTTCGTAAAACAAAACCTCTCACAAGTTTGTTGAAGCCTCTTCGATAGCCCACCACCAGTTCCGCTCTTCTTGGGACTCACCAGGTAGGTGCCGTCTCCTTATGTCCGTCAACCTTGTATTCGAAGAGTCCTTAGCAACCTTATGGATAGTTTCTTTTATGAAAATATACTGCAATATCTTGAAAAGCATGCCGAGTGGAACATGAAGCGGCCTTTGTGCAGCACATTCACTTAAAGTACAGCATAAGTGTGTGATTCAGTTGAGTCTTTCGTGAAAACCAAATTGATTTGCAAACAAGTGTATTTGTCGTAATTATGATTTTAAATGGAGAATACAAACTGGAGTCTTGGTGCTAACTGATACCACGGCAATTTTCGGAAGGGTGATGATTAGATACCATACTATGGAATATGAGTATAACATTCTGGTATCAAGCTTCAGCCTGTGACTTTTGAATCCCCACCGGCACTAAGAAAGAATAGCCTCAGGTGACTCGTTGACTTCCCAACGAATGAGTGACAAGAAAGGGCAACGGGCACTGACAATTCCACGAGGCTAAGAGACCTTTTTCAAAGCGATACTGCCCTGATGGATTTTGGGTCTTTTTTACATGCCCTTTCTTAATACCTTTCTATCACTTGAGGTAGTTTAAAGTACCACTATTATTTTGTTGTCCCCCTTTGTCCCTCGTAATGGATTCCGTCTCCTGAAGTTTTTGGTCGAGTTGAGGCCACCCACACCGTGTTACAGCATGGTATATTGACAGCATATTGTGACTGTCTACCGCAGGACTTACACCAATCATGCCTTAAACTGAGTGGTTTTTGTCTCAGTCTCGTGTTGTCGGATTGTCACATCAAAATTGGCTTCGAAACTAATCGCCAGATTAACCGAAATTCGACGTCCAAGCTAGCGTGTGAAATAACGTGCTAAGATTTGTCCCTGAAATTTGTATCAACATGACCTTCACCAGCAGACAGCTGTTTGTTGCTCAAGGTCGAAGCAGCACGCTGAAAAACTGCTATATAGGGTGATAGAGACGACTGATGCACAACCACTCCATGGGTTGGGGCTGTAATATTAGGAAGAATCGTAAGCATTCTAAACCTCGCAAACCATCATATGCGCGGATAAAACCCGGAAAGAAAGCTGATGGATAAACCATCATGCGGATAAAACCCGGAAAGAAAGCTGATGGATAAGAAACTATTCGAATGATGAGAGGTGGTTTGTGAACATGAAAAACCGACCGC